AGAGTCCATCACAACACCACATAGATATTTGGTATGTCCATCACAGCACCACATAACACAGTCCATCACAACACCACATAACACATAGATATTTGGTATGTCCATCACAGCACCACATAACAGAGTCCATCACAACACCACATAACACATAGATATTTGGTATGTCCATCACAACACCACATAACACATAGATATTTGGTATGTCCATCACAGCACCACATAACAGATAGATATTTGGTATGTCCATCACAACACCACATAACACATAGATATTTGGTATGTCCATCACAACACCACATCACATAACACAGTCCATCACAATACCACATAACACAGAGTCCATCACAACACCACATAACACAGATATTTGGTATGTCCATCACAACACCACATAACACAGAGTATGTGTCAATGGGAAAATAATATATTTAAGTATATATCTAAACATATATGGAAAACCATATATTTGAATGTGTCTCTCTAGAAATTATACTTAACAATAAATTTGCCCATAAAGAATCTACTTCAAGTTTCTACAAGTGAACAATGAAAGAATGCACTTACCGTATTTTCCTGGAATGAAAACAATAACTATGTATATAACTAAAACACTATACTGAACAATGAATTTATGTAAAGAGACAACTATTATCTGCCTGTAAATAATGTAGTAATTCAACACACAAAGCTTGGGTGGGGGTCAAAGTGTGCATGCCCCAACCTTGTACAAAGTGGTATTTAACACGATATTATGAATATGATGTTAGAGTACAGAAAATACCGAATACAGTATACCGGGATACTGAAAAACACCTTGGACATGCATTCAGGAGGCTGTAGAGGTTATGTAAATACAAGTTGTAAACTGTAAAACGGGAAACAGATTTGTAAATACAAGTTGTAAACTGTACAATGGGAAATGGATTTGTAAATACAAGTTGTAAACTGTACAATGGGAAATAGATTTGTAAATACATTGTACAACTTGTATTTACAAATCCATTTCCCATTGTACAACTTGTATTTACAAATCCATTTCCCATTGTACAGTTTACAACCTTGTATTTACAAATCCATTTCCCTCGTAAACTGTACAATGGGAAATGGATTTGTAAATACAAGTCGTAAACTGTACAATGGGAAATGGATTTGTAAATACAAGTCGTAAACTGTACAATGGGAAATGGATTTGTAAATACAAGTTGTACAATGGGAAATAGATTTGTAAATACAAGTTGTAAACTGTACAATGGGAAATGGATTTGTAAATACAAGTTGTAAAATTGTACAGTTTACAACATGTATTTACAAATCCATTTCCCATTGTACAGTTTACAACATGTATTTACAAATCCATTTCCCATTGTACAGTTTACAACTTGTATTTACAAATCCATTTACCATTGTACAGTTTACAACTTGTATTTACAAATCCATTTCCCATTGTACAGTTTACAACTTGTATTTACAAATCCATTTACCATTGTACAGGTGTTTTAATTCTGTTGTGTTATTGGTCTTTCCAAGGTACATGTGGCAGTTCATAGCTGTGGAGTTAATAATTCAGATCTTTTAATAAGTCGAGGAGAGTATGCTGTAAAACCCAAACTACCATTTATACCAGGTATGTACATAGCTGTATCTAGTGTTAATGTATTTTTATCAGTTCAATGAATGTGTAATGGGCCGATGCATTGTATCAGATAAGTAATGTTCACTGTAATTCTGAACTTATGAAATGTATCTTTGTGAAATGTGGTAAGGTTTTAGTAAACAGTATGAGTCTGTTGTACACAAAAACTCAGATGTGTTGATAAAGTAGTTGTACTAAAGATATATCTGTGAAATGACAGAATCAGTCTGACTCATACTTGGACAAGTCATGGTACAAGATGATGTTCAAGTGAAGATTAAAAATCCATTTTCCATTGTACAGTTTACAACTTGTATATACAAATCTATTTCCCACACACACAACTTCACACTTGTATGTGCACACAATGTTCTATATAACATAAAAACTTCCATCATCTCATAGTTTACTTATACTTTTTATCATCATTAAAATGTTGACCTAAACTTATGTACAACAGAGTAATACCAGTCATATCGAAATACTGTTTCAATGTAGTTCTGGTTTATTTGGAAACTGTTAAAAGCATCTCAATATATATACAATATTTGTTACTCATGGCGTATACTGTATAGTAATAAAATAAATTATGTCAATATATTATTTGGTAATAGGATCATGTCATTTTTATGCCTTTTTTTTTCATCATTCTTAAACTCCTCATGTTCAAAGAAATTATTTATTTAAGCATCACCATGTCAGACAATTTTTGTATAACTAATTGTTTCAATCAAATCCTGAACTATTGATTGTACTAATGTCATAAAGTAGTTATATCCTAGTAACTGAAATATTGCTATTATGTTTGTTTTTAAGCATTAAACTACATAAGGTGTGTGTGGGGGTAAACCCGAGATTCAATAAACTTCTGGCTAGATGGAAGGCAATTGGTCGGCAGCACTTGCTGCTAGAGTTGGGTACTTACTGGTGTTTTCTAACTGATTAATACAGTGTTCCTCAAGTTGTAATTGATTAGGAAATATCACTGATCACCCCATTCTACAAGTGTCTAATTTAGATTTAAATATACTAGTCAAAACATAATGACAAAAATTTGGTTTTCAATTAAATTAGCCAAAAAAAACAAGAAGACAGTTTAAAAGGTGCAATTGAAATTATCATTCCTTTGTAAAAACTCTTATCAAAATATACAAGAATGACTATTTCTTAAATACAAAAATAAGTTTTACAACTTTCACACCTCATTTGACTTAAGTTTTTTCTTCTTCTTCACTTCTCTGATCACAAGGGGTTTTCCATACTCTTCTACAACAGCAGCTTTTGTATGAGCAAACTGGGCTCCCAACTGGAGTTGGAGGTTTGATGCCACACGAGATTTTCCCAAAAAAATTTCTGTCAAATAACTTTTGAAAAAGTTGGTTACCTCCAGCTTGTTTTCCACTTCTGACAGTAGTGTAAACTACAAGGTTTATCAGTCTGTTCATTATGTGCTTGCAGTTTTCTGATGAACATTCAAACAAAAAAAGATGAAAAATAATTTTATCCCAACTTCATACCGGTAGCTACACTTTCATTAATAATAATTTCTGTAGCATTCCTTTTAAATAGAAAAGATACGAGAACCTGCAAACAAGACATTAAAACAAATAAGTTAACCTTTGGCATATTTCCAGTTAATTCTATTTCTAGTTTTCCCTTCGTTCTCCACCACACACTATCTTCCAAGTACATTTAATTTCAGGAGCTTTTGCTAGCCCATATATAGCCAATGTATCTCCAGCCTTTAGGTGACGTACATTTTTTGTTTGATGTCAGTTCCTAATCATGTAACAAATGGTATGCTAATTGATGACATTTTAATAGTATAATTATACACATACTCCACAAAAACTACAAACCTGCTGTCAGCAAGTACTCTTTGTTAATGTCTAATCACGTGGGCAAGGGAGACACTTTTTTGTCACAAACTGTTATAATTAACGTATATAGGTACTGTAAATTCTGAGAACCTTTTGCCAAGGTCATTCTTTTGACTAATACAATATTAGTTTGTATATGAGATAACAGCCTCTGGTGTTCTCTATTATAAACTTAATTGATTCAATTTTATAAATAAATAGTGGTTTCCAAATTATGTTTCAGTAAGTTGCTGGGAGTGTTTCACCAAACAAAGAATAATTAAGAATATTAAATAAAATGCATGTGGCAGCAGGGGTTTCACACAAATCAAAGTCAGTGAGTTTGGGCATTAACAGTGAAAAAAGGTTTAGAGATTAGGTAATAAGATTTACACGTAGTGATCAACACACTGGCTATCTTATTTAATATACTGGCTCTAAAGAAGTCCTTTGTGTATTATCAATACTTTATGTGGTCTGCCAAGTTCACTAGCAGACACGTTTTTGCATTTTGTTGATACTATATGTAATATGGCTATTTATTGTAAATACGTAAATTAAATTATTGATAGCTTGAGCAATGTTTTGCTTTCCCCTCAACCCTGAGAGGTTGTAATGATAGCAGGTTTTACCACAGCCAGAAATAGATTTGCTTCTCTAACCCTAAATCTTCTTCCATTTTAAATCCAAACTCTGCTCTAACTTTTAGACTTTTCTATTTCTTTAACACTATAACTTCATTATATAACTTTCTTTTCACACATTTGTAAGACTCTCCCTAAAGCAAACTTCAATTTTCTTTTCTAAGTAAACTTTACAGTCACTTAACCTTTTTTACAAGTACACTATTAAAACCATCTCAACTAGGTAAACGTTAAATCAAATTAGCTGTGTACGCACGTAACTTGGCACCGTGTGTGTTGGCTGAACATCAGGTTCCTTACAGTAACACGCTGCAGACTTGTGTGCTGTTTTAATAAGGTGGTCAGCTCTGTGTGTGTTGGCTGAACATCAGGTTCCTTACAGTAACACGCTGCAGACTTGTGTGCTGTTTTAATAAGGTGGTCAGCTCTGTGTGTGTTGGCTGAACATCAGGTTCCTTACAGTAACACGCTGCAGACTTGTGTG